AGTTCAAGGTTTAGAGTTTAAGGTTTAGAGTTTAGGGTTAAGAGTTTAGGATCTAGAGTTTTTTTTAAGCACCTTTTTCCACCAGCCAATATTAGAGTTTTAGGGTAGAGGGTTTTGGTATACTGAATGTACTTTAGTAAAGTTACAACAAGGAGCCCCAAGGAATAATGTTGGTAGCTATTGAGAAAACCTTGGGCTCCGAGGTTTAGGGCTTTTGAGGTTCAGGGCTTATGGGACCTTTAGGGTTTAGGGTTTAGGGATCTTTAAAAGGTTCCTTCAGGGATCTATGAGGGTGTAGGGTCTGAAAACCTGGGGATTTTTAAGGGGTTTTGGCTTCAGGGGCTCGGGGCTTCCGGGATCTCCGGCTTTGGGGATAAAGGGCTCAAGGATCGTAGAGTTTAGGGCTTCAGGGGCTTTGGGCCTGTAGTTTCGGAAGAAATTATGATGGTATAATTCTTCAGGCTTCTGTAGCGCATGCTGTTCTACAAGCCTCTGGACGCGCCAGCGCCAGGTGTCAGGCATGTCTTAGGGCTTCGACTCACAGACCCGCACAGCAGGCATGGCGCTTAGGGTTTAGGGTTCTTGACCCAGGGCTTCGTGTTTGGAATTTTGGGGCTTGGGGCTTTGGGTTCGCGGTTTTTGCAGGAACCGTTACGAATTAGTCGGACCCCTAGAGTCAACCCGAAAACCCGCTGACACCGCAAGCTGCCACGGATAGTTCACCAGCGGGATTTGGCAAGCCCGGAACCCTGTAACCCATGGAGCTAGGATTAGCTAGCCTTGCATGAAATCGGTAGACCCCAGGCTGCTAGATTTCGGGATTCTGGGGTCGGTTTGAGAACTATAGAACTTTGGAGACTGGCCGCCTGTTTGCCAATATGCAGCTTCCGCCAGCTGCGGCTCCTCATACACAACCGCGCCTGGGCAGCCGCTCTTCTTGTTCTGGGGCAGGGTTTAGGGTTTAGGGTTTAGGGCCGTTTAGGGTTTAGGGTTTAGGGCGGTTTAGGGTTTAGGGTTTAGGGCCGTTTAGGGTTTAGGGTTCTGGGGCCTGTTTAAAGTTTCACGTGGCTGTAGAGGGCACGTTCTAGGGAGCCCCGAACACTGAAAACCCCTGAGCAAGCTAGACCTGGGGGGGGGAGGGGGTTTTGAAGAGCCTGGGCATTCTGGCAGAAGAATCAATCTTGAACCTGAAAGAAAGCCACGAGGGAGGTCCAAGAACCCAAGACAACAAAACCCTAAATCATCAACCCGTCTGATCCTCCTCTGGAAGATGTGCGCAGCGGGGGTCGCTCTGAACAACATGGGGGGCCTCTTTTTGGGTGGTAAACAAACAAGGCTGGCAGTGCTAAACTTGATGTCGTGTTGCCTTGATGTTTAGACTGGGTTTTAAGGTATATGGCTCCAAGGTTATACAAGGGTTATAAGTCTACACAAGAATACTGTTTATTAGTTTTGTATTACCCTTGCCACTATAGCACTATGTAAGCCATGTGGCATGGGGGTCCGCCATCTTTGGGCGGCTTACCCTGCAGCGAATGGACATCACAGTCTTGAAGAAAGGTGAACCTTCCAAGCCGCGGGGGTGTGCTGGACTTCGACTTCAAGCAACGGATTCTCAGATGCTGCATTCAGGGCGAGTTAACGAGTTACTGCGGGCTGTGGACAGCGGGATGTCAGAGCTACTCAAGTTTCTCACGCTAACCCCAATCTCGGGAGACCTTCTGCGGTGAACCCAGAGAGCCCAATACCCCCCAATTAAGGAATTTACCTTAAATTATGGGGGGCCATAATCTAATGATTTAAATTATTTAAAGTATATTCCTTAACTAAGGGGTATTGGGCTCTCCGGGAAACCCGATAGAGCTCTCCCTTCCCTGCAAGCTCTACCTCGTCTCAACTCAACCCACGCTGGGGCCATCCTCTGGCAAAGGGATCAGAACCCCCAAGACATGCGTAGAGAAGCTCATGAGAAGTCATATCTTACATATGAGTTCTCCAGAGCTTCAATGCCCCCTGGCGATTTTTAGGGTTTAGGGTTTGCAAAAGGGTTTAGGATTCAAGCTTTAGGCGGTGACCCTATGACCCTAGTTTGCAATGTAGCCCTCAAGCCTAACACCCTATAAATGCAGCAGATTCATAGGCCCTCAATTCAAAGCCTCACACTGTGCAACCCTGACAGGCCCTGAACACGACAACGATCGGTTCCTGCTGCTCTGCTGGGGCCTCTCCCAGTAGTGCTCCAGTGGCTCACTCCAGGGATGGTACCTGAGCTCGCAACTTAGTGAGGTCATGCTCAGTGGAGGGCTGCTAGCCGTGTGCGGCCGCACAAGAACCTTCTTCTCAGTTCAAGGCAACAAACATGCAGGAAAAAAACTCGGTAGGATTTGGTGCGCATGACGTTTCGGGCTTAGAGAACACATATTTAGGGCTTGCGGCGCACGCCCTGGGGCTTCGAACCTGTTTGAAGGAGGGCTGGCACCTGTCCCATGCTCACAGTACAATGCTGTCTGGCGCACTTGCCGACGACGGGGTCGTTCAGCAGGAGAAATCCGAGATAAGCGATCACCTTAAGCTTAGGGCTTGGATGAGCTCGGGGTTTACTGAATCCTGAAGCTTCTACAGGCTGGGCTTTTGGGGTTTCGACTCTCGCAGCTTCGAAGGCTTCAGTTCAGGGAGCTTTAGGGGCTTTAAGACTTGAAGAGGGCGCTATCTGCTGCACTAAAACTCTGGGGCATGCCTCTCAAGCTTTGGTGGAGTTGCGAGATTCAGCGATTGTGGCAGGGCAGCGTCCCAATCCTTAACCCTCCTTTACAAGCTTCCGAGCAAAGTCTTGAGGCTACATAAAGCACAAGCCCCACAGTAGGCCGTGCTTGGCCCGCGAAGTGAACAGGCTGTGATTGCACTGTTTGGGCCCGGGCCCTACTCCCAAAAAAGCAATGTGGCGACAACAGTTTACACATGCTTGGGGTCTTCTGAGCCACGCAAACCAACCGGTCGTCTTCACCTGCG